CACACACACACACACACACACACACACACACACACACACACACACACAAAGGGGGTCCAAAAGGGGGTCCGAAATCCCCCGACAGGTGAGTGCGCTGGGGGGGGCCGGGCGGCCTGGGGCAGGGGCCCGGGGGAGGTCCCGGGCGGCCTGGCCGAAAAGGAGAAGGCAGAAGACTGCACCCCTCAATGCTGGTAGAAGCAGAAGCAATGAAAGGTATCTGGATCATCAACGACCCAGCCCATGCGGGCTGGGTTTTCGATGATCTCAAAGACAGTCCAGCATGGATATGGACACTAGCAGACCCAGAACCAGCATGCAAACCTGACGTCTTCCCCCCACACGGAAGCAGATGGCAAAAAGGGGGAGGCAAAAGGAACGACAGAGCCACACAAAAATATGAAAATGCAGCTCTGGGCAATGCGGATCTGCTGGAACAGACTATGCACAAAAGGCAGATTCTCAGCGACGTACATAACATAGGACGAGAGGCAGAAAAATCTTACCTCGAAATCCTACAGACTAGAAGAGATCTTGAACAAAAGAACAGAGAATGGGGCAAGACTAACGACTCGGGTCCAGCGAGAAGAAAGAACAGGAATGAGGAGGACGATCCTAAAGAAACAGGTAAGACTCCAGGCACAAAGAAGCTCAGAGACAACAGCACATCACTCGCAAGCAGGGAAAGCAAAATGCACCTGGACATAGCACCACCACCACCAACAATAGACTCCAGCCAGACCACAATGCCAGAAGAGGACTCAAATAGCACCTTGGAATGGCTGGACGAATACATTGAATCGTTGAAGGCACGTAGAGATGTAGACTTGGAAATCAGGCTGGCACATGCCAGGCATATCAGTATCCTGAAGAAAGAGTCTAATGCAATTGCAAATGCCACAGGTGGATTCCCAACTTCCTCTAACCGCTACGACGCGTTGCCAACAGAGAACACCTCCTTTGAATTCTTAGCCCTCCAGTATGCTGAGCAGCACAGAGATGCACTGGAAACGGATTCCTCCCCAGAAAGCAAACAAGTTACCTGCAGGAGCAGAATCTGGAGTTGGGAGCAGACTCTCACTCCCTCAACAAGATAGCAGACCAAAACCCTCAGGATCTGGCAGTGGCAGCCACGCTTGATGCACGCACCCGCTCACCCACAGTCCCATTCTTGCCCTTCCGATACAACACAGACAAAAGGGAATGGCAGATTGCAGTCCGACACTCACTGAACATTATCACAGCCCAATACATACACAAACGGCCCAGCTTCGCAAGGGCAAACATCCCAAATGATCGCCCCCTGGCCATGAAAGTGATCGAGCAGGACTGCCTGGACATGTTCTGGGAGGACGATAGCGGGAAAAGCCACTACAATGACCTCAGACCAGTACCGGTTCTATATGACCAGCAAACCCAACTAGGGGAGGGCCTGACATGGAAACCCTGGGAGATGATCAACGAAATCCCCTACTCACTGCTGGGTCACAAGGGTGAAGTCGACAGAATTGCCTTCAGCACAACCGCCTTCATGAGGGAGGAATGGCTGGGCAAGGATGAAGACGAGACGATGGAAAAGCTGAAGAAGGAAAAAGAGAGGAAGGAAGAGAAGAGAAAGGAGAAGGAGATAGCGAAAAAGACCTCCAGCCCCGCCACCTGAGTTGGTCAATAGTCCCACATCTGAACTAACCGTTGCAAACAGTAATGGATGAACATCCCAACGACCAACCGGATAGTGAGATAAACAACAACGCAAAAAGATTCAGACCCACCACTGAAGCTGACACTCTCAAGGAAACCAGAAAACAACCCGAAATCACCTGCGTATCATGGAATATCAACGGCCTGGCTTCTATACTAGACAACCCAATGAAATGGAAGAACCTCACAGAAACCATAGGTTGGTTCGGTCCCAAACCCCCAGACATAACATGCCTCCAAGAAACACACCTAACCAACAACAGTGAACACAACAAACTACAATTAGCCCTCATCAGAAAACTAACCTACGTCAAAACAGCCTTTTGGACCAAAGCTGCAAACAATGGATCAACAGGAATTGTTATACTCCTACATCAAAAATCTCTAGCGAGTGAAGCATTAAAAATACAGAATGTCAACCAAGACAACACCTCAAGCAGATGGATCAAACTTGACATCAATTTTAAGGAAGAAGAGATATTCGTCATAGGCATCTGTCATCATGGGAGATTGGAACTCAATTCAAAACCCCAAGCTAGATAAACTATCTCATTCCCAAGATCCCACACACCAAACTAACAATACAAAACTAAACGAATTTATGATTAGGAACAACCTATTGGACCCATACCGCCCCCTACACCCAGAAATCAAGAGATACTCCTGCATCAGAAAAACCTCACAGGGCAGAACATCCTTCTCTAGGATTGACTTCTTCCTAGCCTCAGACTCATTAACAGGATCCATACAAGAATGCACCATTCACAACAACCCATACCATAAAGGATTAGACCACAAAGCCATAACTCTAGCCATCGGACTCACTAAAGAGGGATACACAGGCAAGAGCTTCTACCGCTTCAGTAATGCCCTCCTCACCAGCAAAGCATTCCAATAAGAACTACAAACTATACTAACCTCACAAACACACATACTAACCCATGAGGACATATTCACCAAGTTCCCACAAATCATAAAAAACATTAGCACAAGGACAACACAATTATCCAGAAGACTAGCCTCACAAAGAAAGGAAAGAGAAGAGACCCTAAGAAATGTAATAGAAATAGCAGAAATAAACCTACAAAAGCACCCGAATTCAGAATTCTATGCAGAACTTTTTGATAAATCTAAGGAAGAATTAGCCGAATGGACTGAACTCAAGCTTAAAAACCTTCAATTGAGGGTCAGGGTGAAAGATTGGGAACTTAACGAAAAAATGTTCAAATTCTTCTTCCAGAAGATAAAAGCCAACTACAGAAATTCCGAAATAGAATGCCTACACGACGAGAACGGTAACCCAACCATAGAAACCACAAAACTGGTCAACATAGCAACCATAGAAACCACAAAACTGGTCAACATAGCAACCACCTTCTACAAAGAACTCCACACCTCCAAATCACTAGTAGGTGGGAAGAACACAACGAACAGAGCCAGAGAAAAATTATTAACCCACCTAGACCAATCCCTCTCAAGTGAAACAGCCAAATCCTCAGAAGAACTACACAAAGCTCTTACCTCAAACCCAACAAGGCCCCAGGTAGAGATGGACTATCTAAGGAATTCTGGATCGCAGGCTGGCCCATCCTTGGACCACTACTACTCAAATTCCTCACCAGAGCATGGGAAGAAGAATCACTAGGCCTTAACCTGAACACAGGGGTGGTAACACTCCTATACAAAAAGGGAGACAGAGGACATAAAAAATTACAGACCCATTTCTCTACTAAATGCAGCATACAAGATCCTAGCTAAACTCCTTAGCCACCAGAATAAACAGAGTCACAAGAGGATGTTTTCACCTAGACCAAACAAGGTTCATACAAGGGAGACACATTCTAAACAACGTAATGTCTCTGTGTGAATCG